TATGCAAAAGCTCCAGAAACTGCAACATCCTGTATCTTTAAAGTTGGAAGCATTTCATTTAACAACTTTACACTGTAGTGGACTTAAGTATGACACATATTCAGCTGTACAGGCAGGAACTGCAATATTCTCGCATGATTTAAAACATGACAGAAAAATCACAGTTCTCTAAGCCATTTAAAAAAGCATCAGAAACAGTCCCTTATTTTGAGGGAAGAACAATCATTTATTTCTCATGGGTCCCAAATAATTCATTTTCTTTACCTTTGAAAAATGATTTAAAGGCGAGCAATGATTTTTCTGAACACTAAGATAATTCCACAATAATTCTATGATTACGGTCTTCCACAAAAGACTGTAACAGCTAGTAGGCCAAAAATTATATCCCTGATTAAATTTTGTTGTAAATTACCACAGAATCCACAGTAAAGTTTTCTGAAATAAACTGATATTAAAAAAAAACAAACAAAATCTTTCTCAACTGGCAGTTTCAAGCAAAACGGTAAGATATAACTGTAAAATTTTAATAAAGTGGTAATTCAAAAGATACAGTTGGAACCAACTTTGATCAAGTGAAAGAACTCTGATGCTTAAATAAAATTACATCCACAACACTGTTTATAGAAGACCAAATCATTAGCCTACATCTTCTGTCATCATTAGACTAGTGAGTTACTCTTTTAACAGGATAAATTTTATCAGGAAATAAGTATGAGGAGATCTTAGTACTGGGGAAATTACATTCTTTCTCATTAATATAAGAACAGCAAGAACGTAACTATTTTATACATCACTTTATCCAAAATACTAAAGATGTACACCTTAATACACTTACCTAACTTCCGTATCCGTCTTTCCAGCAGAGACGGAGATTCACTTCAACACAGAACAGATAATACAGGTGAATGAGCACAATGGCACTGTGGCCATCTCTTACACACACAGAGATATGAGATGCCTGGTTTCAATGCACCCGAACATCCTGCTGGCTCAGGAGGACAACAGGGATTTCACCATGAGATTTGGATGAAACTGAAATTGTGGCGACGACAAACCTTCCTCACTTTAGGACTGAGATGATTTGATGATCTCTGGATGGACACAGGTCTCCTGAAGCAGGGTACCGTACCTCAGCCACCAGGAAATGCCAAATAACAGAACAGGCAGTATTGGCAAGGTCACAGCAGCACTAACTCAAGC